GGGAACTAGAGGAGTAGGGCACTAGATGCAGAAATTGAGGGAGAGGTAGGAACCAAGGCAAACATTACTAAGAATAAGAACAGGCAGGGAAACACTACTGAAAAGAGCAGGGGTGGTGGTTGGAAATGTATGTGTTTCAATGCAAGAAGTATAATAGACAAGGTAGATGAACTCAGAGCTTTGGTTAGTACTTGGAACTGTGACATTATTGCAATTACAGATACTTGGCTGAAAGAGGGACAGTACTGGCAGCTGAATGTCCCAGGATTTAGATGTTTCAGGTGTGATAGAAAGGGAGGTAAAGGGGGTGGGAGAGTTGCATTTCTGGTAAAGGAGTATCTCACAGCTGTACTGAGGGAGGATACATCAGAAGACTCATGTGGCGAGGCAATGTGGGTAGAACTCAGGAATAGGAAAGGTGAAATCACAATGCTAGCGGTGTACTACAGGCTTCCAACAGCCAGTGGGAGATAGAGGACAAAGTATGTAGACAGATTTTAAAAAGATGTAAAAATGGCAGGGTTGTTGTGGTGGGTGATTTTAACTTCCCCGATGTTGACTGGGAATCACTATGTGATGGGGGCTTGGATGGGGCAGAATTTGTAAGTACCATTCAGGAGGGATTCTTGACACAATATGTAAACAGTCCAACCAGGGAAGGGGTTATGCTGGACCTGGTTTTGGGAAATGAGCCTGGCCAGGTGAGTGAAGTTTTGGTGAGGGAGCACTTCAGGAATAATGACCATAATACTGTGAGTTTGAAGATACACATGGAGAGGGAGAACAGCAGTCCACGGGTGAAGGTGTTAAATTGGGGAAGGCGAACTACAACAATATTAGACAGGAACTAGAGAATTTTAATTGGAGGCAGCTGTTTGAGGGTAAATCCACATCAGACACGTGAGAGTATTTCAAATGGCAGTTGATAAGAGTTCAGGAGCATCACATTCCTGCAAGAATGAAGGATAGGTATGGCGAGTTACATGAACCTTGGATGATCAGGGATGTTATGACCTTGATCAGAAAGAAAAAGGAAGCGTACATAAGGTCTAGGAGGATGGGAAGTGACAAAGGCCTTGATGTATATAAGGAAAGTAGGAAAGAACTTAATCAAGGAATTAGAAGGGCTAGAAGGGGTAATGAAAAGTAGTTAGCAAACAGGATTAAGGAGAACCCAAGGCTTTCCATACATATATAAAAAGCAAGAGTGTAGCCAGGGAAAAGGTTGGCCCACACAAGGACAAAGGAGGGAATCTATGTGCGGAGCTAGAGGAGGTAGGTGAGGTCCTAAATGAATACTTTGGGACAGTATTCACCAAAGAGAAGGAATTGGTGGAGGATGGTCTCACAGAGGGGAGTGTCGAGTTTCTCATCCAAGTTGCAATTAAAAAGGAAGAGGTGTTGTGCATCTTAAAAAGTATTAAGGTGGATAAGTCCCCGGGTCCTGATGGAATCGATCCCAGAATATTGAGGGAGGCAAGAGAACAAATTGCTGGAAATTGACCATAGGTGAGGTCCCAGAGGACTGGATAATAGCCAATGTTCTCCCATTGTTTAAGAAGGGTAGCAGGGATAATCCTGGAAATTACAGCCCAGTGAACCTTGCGATGGTGGTCAGGAAATTATTGAAAAAGATTCTCAGGGACAAGATCTGTTTGCATTTAGAAGCAAATGGACTTATTAGCGATAGACATCATGGTTATGTGCAGGGGAGGTCGTGCCTCACTAACTTGATTGAGTTTTTTGAGGAGGTGACAAAGATGATTGATGAGGGAAAAGCGGTTGATGTTGTCTACATGGAATTCAGTAAAACCTTGACAAGGTCCCTCATGGCAGATTGGTACAAAAGGTGAAATCACATGATATCAGGGCTGAGCTGACAAGATGGATACAAAACTGGCTTTTTCATAGGAGACAGAGTGTAGCAATGGAAGGATGCTTTTAAGAATGGAGGGCTGTGATTAGTGGTGTTCTACAGGGATCAGTGCTGGTACCTCTGCTGTTTGTGATCTACATAAATGATAGGGAGGAAAATGTAGCTGGTCTAATTAGTAAGTTTGCAGACGATACAAAGGTTAGTAGAATTACGGATAGTGAGGAGAATTGTCAGAGGATACAGCAGGATATAGATCAGTTGGAGGCATGGGCAGAAAAATGGCAGATGGAGTTTAATCCAGACAAATGTGAGGTGATGCATTTTGGAAGGTCAAGTACAGGTGGAAATTATACAGTGAATGGCAGAACCCTTAGGAGCATTGATATGCAGAGGGATCTGGGTGTACAGGTCTATAGATCACTGAAAGTGGCAGCGCAGGTAGATAAGGTAGTTAAGAAGGCTTATGGCATGCTTGCCTTCATTGGAAGGGGCATTGAGTATAAGGGTAGACAAGTTATGCTGCAGCTTTGTAGAACTTTCGTTCGGCCACACTTGGAATGTTGCATACAGTTCTGGTCACCACACTATCAGAAGGATGTGGATGCTTTGGAGAGGGTACAGAAAAGGTTTACCAGGATGTTGCCTGGTATAGGGAATCTTAGCTGTGAAGAAAGGTTGGATAGGCTGGGTTTGTTATCACTGGAATGCAGGAGGCTGAGGGGCGACCTGATAGAAGTTTATAAGATTGTGAATGGCATGGACAGAGTGAAAGATATGAGGCTTTTTTCTAGGGTGGAGGGGTCAATTACTAAGGGACACAGGTTCAAGGTGTGAGGGGGGAAGTTTAAAAGAGATGTGTAAGGCACGTTTTTCACACAAAAGGTGGTGAGTGCCTGGAACACGCTGCCAGAGGAGGTGGTGGAAGCAGACACAATAGCAGCGTTCAAGAAGCACCTGGATGAATACATGAATAGGGAGGGAATAGAGGGATATGGATACTGTAAGTGAAGGCATTTTTGGTATGGAAGAGCAAAATGTGTTGGTGCAGGCTTGGAGGGCCGAAGGACCTGTTCCTGTGCTGTATCGTTCTTTGATCTTTGTTCTTTGAGGCACAGAGCAACTGGTTCACAACTTATAAATTCTCTGACTTTTTGGTAAAAGCAACAGCTTATGGCAACTGGTGAGACAAAATAAACTGGCTTCCTTCAGCCCATTTCGGTATTTTCTTCTTCAGAGAGACATACCACCTCCCCTCCTGGAGATTCAAAGGCTTCTGGTTGTATCACGCCCACAGACAATTTAGTCAGTAAGCCAGGAGCCAATCACATCATTGTTGAAAGGTAGATAGTCATTGTCATCCACAATTAGTCACAACTCCACAAACGAATCAGCTGATAATGTTGGCCAAATCTCACTTTGCACGCTGTCCCAGTGCCAGCCTGTTTGCAACCAACTTTGCCCACTACTTCAACACAGCAGCAGTGTAAACACCACTCACAATGAGTTACACTAACTTGCCTTTAAAAACGGTAGCAACCCCTTCCATAATCCCTGGTTTTTAAGACAGACATTTGCCCATTTCAGTTCACAAGCATAAACATGGACAAATAAAAAGATACGTCTTTACGTCCATTGTACAAACTTACTTCCTGTTAAAAGGCATATACATCACGAGGTCTTTGATGAATCATTTCTCATTTCTATTCAAACACTTTCTGATTTCCTGAGCTTAGGTCATCCATTTCTACAGTGCTAATCTCATCATTAATGAACAGAACCACCCCTCCACCTTTCCTTAAGTTCATTTCCTTCCTACATGTCCTGTACTCTTCAACATACAGATCCTAACACATATCATCCTGAAATCTGGAACTCCTTCCCTAAAACATGCTACTGAGGTCTACAGAAAACATCATGAGCAAAGTTGATCAATCTTTGTTGGGTAAGGCAAATGGATTGAAGATTGAGGAGTTAAGGCATAGATCAGCCATGACCTCATTAAATTGCAAACAGGCTAGAAGGGCTGACTGGCCTCTCCCTGGCCTTGTGTTACTCTAAGTCTATGTTGAAAAGGAGGAGGCAGTGCCAATCACTGGAAAGGGTGAGAAAGGATTATTTAGCTAGCTGTCCTTTAGAGAAACCCTCCCCAGAAACAGATCGACAGGTCATTCACCTCGATGACCACCTACAAAATCTTGCTAACCCTCACCTCTATCACAGTGACCACACTTTGAAAACAAAGTCATTGGTCGTCCTGAGGTTGTAAAAAGCTTATGTGCTCAAACTTACAATGACATTGGACAAAAGTAAAAACGCAGACACTTCTTTCAGTATCCTTCTCTTGGAGCTGAGCCTGTTGGCAGGGGCAGAATGCTGATCTTCCTGGATATGGGACACACTCTCCAGATGGCTTGATACAGTTTCCTGCTCAACGGTGATTCCAGATGGGATGGAGCTAATTTGGGAAAGAGTGTTCTGGATGCAATATCCCACAGCATCCCCGGGGACACAATGGTTGTTGGCATGACCGTCACTGTTAGAAGTCCTGACATCTGGGTGACTCCCCTCCACAAATGGTTTCCTGCTTAAACCTTCCGCAATGAAGGCATTCTGCAGAACGTGTTGGGCGATGGTGAGGATAGAGAAGAGAAGGTTCAGGATGTTGAGCAGCTCGAAGGGTTGGATGGATACAATCGCCACCAGGCTGAAGTATGAGATGAGAAACTGGCCCAATGCTGCCCAAAGCAGGAGTGCCATGTCCAGATGCCTGGCTGGGTTCTTGTCTCTGTTACTGTCCCTTCGCTCAAACTGGTGCACGCAGGAGCCCACCAAGGCACTGATGGATGTCAGCGCAAGAGCCACAATGTTAAAGAGATAATAGGCAGTCAGAGCCCAGCTCTCTCCTCCTTCATCTGTCACTTCCACCTCATAGAGAATAAAGATTGCCAGACCAATCAGGATCTCAGCAGTCCCGAGGCTTGGGCCCAGCAAGAGACCATGGAAACGGAGTTGGAGCTGGGCCGGATGCTCCTGTTCCTCAATCAACCTGCCCACGTTCTTCCACATCACACCAAGCATGGCCGAGGCAAACAGGCTGTACTCAATATTGAAGGGGTACAGATAGTAGTAACCGGTCTGGAAGATGAGGCAGACATCGGTGGAGCAGAAACATCCCTCATCCACACCATCTAAAAGGGCAAAAGACAACATTGTTTTCAATAGGCAGCTTCTATATTCACAGAGGAGAAAGATACGGTAGCTGAGGATTTCAGTTGGGATGGTGAGGCTCCAGAGCACGTTAAGATTAATAAGGAGGAGGTATTAGGTGTTTTAACGGGCATACAGGTACACAAATCTCCAGGGCCTGATGAGATGTATCTCAGACTGCTATGGGAGGCCACGGAGGAGATTGCTGGGGCCTGGTGGAGATAATATTTCGCTGGCCACAGGTGAAGTGCCAGATGCCTGGAGGATAGTGAATATGGTTCCTTTGTTTAAGAAGGGCAGTTTACAGACCAGTTAGTCTGATGTCAGTGGTAAGGAAATTATTGGAAAAAAACTCTGAAGGTCAGGATTAATCAATACTTGGAAAGGCAGGGATTGATCAGGGATTGTGACATGGATTTATTAGAGGGAGATCCTGTCTGACTAGCTTTTTTGGAAAGGTGATTAAATGTACTGATGAGGGTGGTGCACTTGATATGGTTTACATAGTCTCAGTAAGGCCTTTGACAAGGTCCCACATGGAAGGCCGGTCCAGAAGGTAAGAGCCAATGGGATCCAAGGTAAACTGGATCCAAAATTAGCTTACAAATAGGATGCAAAGGGTGATGGTGGAATGTTGTGGGAAACGGTGTACCACGGAGTTTGATGCTGGGACTCTTGTTGTTTGTTATGTACATTAACAATGGGGATGTGAATGTAGAAGGTATAATTAGTAAGTTTGCAAACGATATGAAAATGGGTACTGTTCTTGATAGCAAGGTGGATGGTCTCAGGCTATTGTCTGATATCGATTAGCTGGTAAATTGGGCAGAGCAGTGGCAGATGAAATTTAATCCCGATAAGTGTGGTGTGATGTATTTTGGGAGGTCTAATAAGGGAAGGAAATACACACTGAACGTTAGGTTCCAAGTGTGTACTGAGGAACAAAGGGACCTTGATGTACAAGTCCATAGATCCCTGAAGGTGTCTGCACAGGTAGACAGGAAGTTGAAAACGGCAAACTGGATGCTTGCCTTCATTAACAGGGGCATAGGATATGGGACTAAGGAAGTCTTGTTACAATTTTACAAAACATTGGTTAGGCCACAGATGGAATACTGTGTGCAGTTCTGGCCACCACACTCTTGGAAGGAAGTGATTGCACTGGAGAGGGTGCAGAGGAGATTCACCAGGATGTTGCCTGGATGAAAAGTCTCAGTTATAAGGAGAGACTGGATAGGCTGCGGTTGTTTTCCCTGGAGCAGAGGAGGCTGAGGGAATATCTAATTGAGGAATGCAAAATTATGAGGGGCATAGACAGTGTAGATTGTGAGAATCTCTTCCTGATAACCAGAGGGCATGGGTTTAAGGTGAGGAGCAAGTTGTTCAGAGGAGATCTGAGAGAATTTTTCACCTAGATGGTGGTGGAAATATGGAACGTGCTGCCAAAGAAGGTGGAGAAAGCAGGTACTCCCACAACATTTAAGAATCATCTGGATGAGCACTTAAAATGCCCGGGTATGGTAGGCCAAAAACCAAGTGCGGGTAAATGAGATTAGTGTGGTTTGGTGTTTGTTGGTGTGCATAGACATAACGGGCTGAAGGGCCTATTTCTATGCTGTATAATGATGACTTTTGACTTTAGTACTGGTGGGGACAGGTCTGTCACTGTATAACACTGGGGTACAGTACTGGTGGGGTTAGCTCTATCACTGTATAATACTGGGTCAATACACAGTATATGTACAGCCATAAATTGTTCATCCCGTTCCTTGGTGATTTGTGTGCAGCGCTTGACAGCCACGTCAGGCGTCTCTTTTGTAGAGATCCCCGCAACCCCCCACCTCACCCCACCAATCACACACTCCCACCCCACCAACCACACCACCAAATCCTGTAACCGGGAAGAATTAGTGGCCTCCAGAGCTGTGACATTTGACCCCTGCCTGCTTGATAGAAGTAGGGCCAGGGTTTTTCCAAATGCATACTGTGTTTGTGGCTTTGTGGACAAGTTCTTAACAGACTCGTTATTGTCTTTTATATGCAATGTGGCCCCTGGGTCAGGATCCAATGATCATCACCCTCTTGTGCTGTTGTATATGGTGGTGGAATAATAATTGTGACAAAGGATTCTGTAGCCTCTTTAATGACCATTGGATACCCCTCAGCTAATTAAATATGTCTGAAATATAGTTGCTGTCACAGTTAGTGTGAGAAATGTGCTGGGCATTTTAAACACAACAAACTTCCAAAATCTACCGTGGTTGATGCCAAAAGAGACACTAATTGAATGATGTTAATTGATAGATGCACATTGACCAGGATACCAGGAGAACTTCCCTACCCTCAGGTTAGGTTAGGGAGTGTTTTATATTTATCTGTTAGGGCAGCCAGGGCCCTGGTTTAACATCCCATTTGACTAAAATACAATAGTGCAGCCTAGACTAGGTCCCTCACCAGATCTGTGCTCATTTCAAGGTATCTATTGCAGTCAGTATACAGGCCCACACCAGAACCTGCCTCAGCCTTACAGCTCATTTGGCACAACCAGCTCATCGTGAGCACATTCTCATGATTGTAAAAGAGTGTTGTGTCAGATTTTCATTGTTGCTCGATGTCTTATTGGTTCAGTTACTGACTGAAACATTTTGGATCGTGAACCCATTTTTGTTATGAAAAACGTTCACAAACCAGTGAAATCCTGCTATTTTAGGAAACCTTTAATGTCCGTAACGTATTCTGCTCTGTTTTGCCTGCTGCCTAACTTGTTCAATATTTTTACTCCTGTTTAGGAGGCAATTCCACGAAACCCAGAAAGGAGGAGGAAACCATCCAGTCTCTCATCAGCAAATCAGTGGGCACCGAGCCCCGATTGGGTGAGTGGCCAGCGGGCACCGAGCCCCGATTGGGTGAGTGGCCGGCCAGCGGG